GGCTTTGGGGGTTTAGGGTTCCTTTAAAGGGCTCCTTTAAGGGATCTGTAGGGTTTAGGGTCTAGGGGGCTTTAGGGGTTTAGGGTTCCTTTAGAGGGCTCCCTTAAGGGATCTATAGGGTTCCTTAAAGGGGTTTAGTGGGGTTTAGGGGCTTAGGTGTCTAGGGTTTAAGGGTTCAGGGTCTCTGGATTTAGGGTTTTATGTGCACCTTTAAGTTTTGGGGTCTAGGGTTTAGGGTTTATTCCAAGGGTTCTTCCAGGAACAGGTGGCAATTCAAGTTTACGGGCTGCGTGGTTCTAGGCTTCGGCTCAACATTTTGGGCCTAATATAGGCGGCCCTTAATCAGTACCTATACTTGTTTTCGTTGGGGGTCTAAATAATTACAAATACTTTTTGTTTTTTTTGGGTGGGGGGTGGGGGGTGGGTCTTTACGATAACTATAGTATAATGGGCTCCAAAACCTAATTTTAATTATTAAGGCCCCTCTATTATAATAGGGAGTTGATGAATTGATGGATCGTGGTTTAGTCGTCAATGTGTTGGAGAGGTTATCTAGTGTGGCCATAAGCAATAGCAGACTCCAACTGCACTGGCCACTAGCCAGCGCAAAGGTATCAATTCTCCACTGTCCCTAAACCCTAAACCCTAAACCCTAAACCAGTAGAGGATTGGGGGCTTCAGAATTTCATGGTGGCGGAGTGGCGGGCCCATGCTTCGAGCCACGTCCACACCCTTCCTTTCTGCGGTTGTCCAGACAACCGATTCCCGAACCCTCAACCGTCGAAATTTTTCCCATTGGTGCAGAAAGGTGAATTCAAGAACACCGGGGCAGCGTTATTCCTCGGGCTCTCAGGCTGGAACATCCCGAACCCTGACCCATCCAATGCCCAGCAATGAACTGCAGCGCTCGAGGACGCACACCATGCAGCACACCGTCGTAGAGTATACACATGTATACACAATGACACAGTCTAGCCACCATCTACCCCTACCGCAAAATATGGTATTCCGAAGCGTAGAAGCGTGAGGATGGCCGAGCCATGCTTTGATGACAGACGCCTCCTAGAAGGGCCTCTGGGCATACCCTATAAACCCTACAAGCACTAGAAACCCAGACCCCAAAACTCGACCACCGTAAACGCGTAGTAATCTTCTCCCTTGTTACAAGGGGAGATATGTATGTTTAGACTAGAGCGTACCTACTCTAATCATTGAGGCCGCTATGTCATCGAACCCTGGGTGGTTTTCCGTGTCCAACGCCTAAGGAACCTTCTCGGAAGCCTTACAAGAACTCTTCAAGGAGCCACCTAAACCCTGACCCTGACTGACCCCAAACCCCCAGACCCTCAAACCCTGAACCCTGAACCCTCAACTCCAGGGAACCCAGAAAACCCTTCAAGTAGGTCCGGGTTGAAAGTTTAGGGTTTAGTTTAGGCAGGGTTTTGGGGTTTAAGGTTTAGAGGTTGTAGGGTTTTCGGGCTTGGGGTGTCTTTCTCATAATAAGCCTGCTTAGCCCAGGTTTGCGTGCTGCCTCCGCGATACGACTTCTGTGTGGCACTTTGGGAAACTGTCTAAAGCTCTCTTCATGGTTCCTATAGGGCTAGCCCTAAGCCCAAAACCCTAAACCCACGAAGACTTTTAGGGGCCTCCTAAACCCTAAACCC